TGAGAGTCCACATTCAAGAAATGTGCATCTTGTGGGGCAAAATCAGGAAGGCAAAAAGCACAGAAACAAGCACTGCCCACACGGCCCATGGGAGCACAGGGAACGGAGCCGCAGACACTGGGACACACGAGCCCCCAGGCGCTTGAGGGAAGCGCCTGGAGGGGCCCCCTGGCGGGCCTGGCTGCTGTGTGCCGGCACTGGCACAGCAGCGAGGAGACGGCTTCCACAGAGTTCTGCAAGCCCAGCAAAACGAGCAATTCTTTGTTGGCCACATCCAGTGGGGTTTAAGCCTGGGCAGGTGCAGAGCAAGGCGACCCAGACAGTACCCACCCGGCGAGGTCCGGCGTGGAGGGATCGGCTTTCCCACCCTTCCCACCTCCCCAGAAGAGGCAGAATGGCGCCCCCTGGCAGGGCCTGCTTTCAGGGGTCGGTTTCCACCGTGTGGTCCCTCACTAGCAAGAGCAGCGCCTGCCCTTCTGGCTTCCACCAGTTCTGCGCTCCAGTGCAACCGCCTCCGGAAGGACACGGAGGCGGCAGCCTCTCGCTCTACTGCTCTGCACCGGCATGGCCTGATCCGGCTGCCTGCCCCAGGGCCGCCGCCAGCACGTCCTCCAAGCGGTGAATCTGCAGTTGCTCTGCTGCTCAAGGGCTTGCAGGGCCTTCCTCCTGCCCCACCAAATCAACTGACATGGCCAGCACTCTGCTCGCCATGAGCTCTTTATTAGTTCTGGGGAACATTTTCCCGTCTTTTTTAGAGCACCACAAACTACAGAAGCCCAGGAAGGGATGGGGAATGATAGAAAGAGGAGAAATACACAAGGGGGAAGAGTAGAAAGTCAGCAACATCTCTCCCTCTTCCTCCTATTCTGTGGAGGACCTGAGTACCCTCTGCTACCTTCAGTGATCTTCCTTCTTGGCGGGCCACTGTTCTTTGTGGATTGGAAAGAGCTGCCGTGAGTTAGATGCAGGGCAGACGATATGCCAGTGCCGGAAACATTCGTACCTTGGTGCAGTTCGCTGACCGGAGGCATCTTCCAGGAACTATCTGCGCTTTTGCACATGCTGCTTGAAAAGCAAATGATTTATATTAGAAGAGGAGCCATCCGCATCACAGTTTCAGAAGCAACGGCGTTTTCAAGCAGGTCCCTCCCATGCTAAAAGCACACAAACAAATCCGGTGCCCAGATTTACCCTTCCAAGGCAGCTCACAGCATTCTCCTCCTCCACTCCCTGTTATGGTAACCACCACCCTGTGAGGTGGGCTGGGCTGAGAGTCTGCGGCCACCCCAGGTCAGCCTGCAGCAGCATGGCCAAGGGGGGCCCAGGCACACGCGTGGGGTCGCTCTTCCACGCTGGCCCGTGCGCCTCTCAGCCCCGCCCTGCCACAGCTGGGGGTTCCAGCGCATAGTCCCAGGAGGGGGCCGTCCATCAGCCACTCGGGGTGCCTTTCCTGGGGGGGGCTGGCCCCGCAGGGTCGCCCCCACACCGGCTTCATCCGTTTGTTTCTAAGCTCTTGCTGTTTCTGGCCCAGGCGTGTGGCACGCTCCGGTTTGGGAACACACTTGGCTCCTCCTGTCCCTGCCCTCAAAAGGACGGGGGGATGGCAGATCCCCCGCGAGCCCCTCGTGACCTGGGCACGGACGCCCCAGCCCGGGAGAGGTCCTCACGCCCCCCAGGCGCCTGCTGCCCCCGACCTGCTGGCGCCTCGTCCCACGGCCAAGTGGCTCCTCCACGGCGCGGCCCTGCCCTGCACGCTCGGACACACACCCGCGGACAGCAGAGACAAGAGCTTTTGCTCATCTTTTTAATGTATCACAATGAGCAGAAACATACTTGATGAAATATTTTCAAAGAGTATATTCAATTACCATCTACAATCAACTTAACTATGACAACAAAGTGTTCTGTGACAAAATGTTTTTTTCTTTTTTAAAGTTCCGTGTGGTTTGTTTTTGTCCGTCTCCATGTATTTTGGTACAGTTCGAGATCAGCATTGTTACAGTAACAAAAAAGCTAACAAGACTACATTATAGAAAAACACCAAGAACATCATTTTTGGTTTCACTTGCTCTAGTTTTTGTACATTGCAAAGGCTGTTCATATACCTCTTTCTTCTTCACTTATGTTTTCTGTTTTATCCAGACTCTCTGCTCCCCTCCTCCTAATCAGACAGATGAAAAACAGTCCAAAACTTTCACAGTGGGCCCGAAGTTTAGCGCCATCGAGCCAAGCACACACCGGCCCGCCTCAGGGGCCCGGCTTCTGTTCCAGAGGCCCCCAGCGCCACCCGCTGCCAGCCCCCCGGGAGCTGGACTGCCCTGCCCTGCCCTGCACCCACCGCCCGCCACGGCCGCCCACCGGGTGCGTCTTCCCAGCGGCGCTCTGCGGTCTTACCCGTCTCGCGCTCAGCTTGGATCCGGCATCAGTGGGGAGCCCCGGAAAGCACCCTGCGCCCACAGGCGGGACGGCGGCTGAGAGGGCAGAGGAACGAGGCCGGGGGATGTCGAAGCCTGGGGGCCAAGCGTAGGCACAGCCCCCGGCCCCCCCGGCCCTGCTGGGGCATGCTGAGCACGGCCCCCTCTCCTGCGCTGACTTTCCCAGAAACGCACCTGCTGCACCACAACGTCCACAATGGCAGGGCAAGTCGGAGACGGACCGGCTCAGCTCGACACGCCGCTGATGCTCAGGAACTCCAGCGAGGGGGCCGGGCAGGGCAGGGCAGGGCAGGGCAGGGCAGGGCAGGGCAGGGCAGGGCAGGGCAGGCGGGGAAGAGGAGGGGGCAGAAGGGAGGTCGCCTTGAGCTGCTCTGCCCTCCTGGGACAGACACTTCTCTCCACAGATTCTCCCCCCCACGCACACACATCCATGCCCCCACCTGCACACACACGCATGCGCATCCATGCACCCTCGCTCACGCACACAGGAATACCGGGAAATGTACAGAAACGCCATTTGGAGGTGGGCAGGGGCGGACGAGCAGGAGCAGGGGCAAAGCGGTGCCTGCGCGGGGCTGCGGGGAACAAACAGGATGATTCCAAAGCAGACACCAAGCCTGACAGAGAAAACTAGTGTTAAACTGGCAACTTATACCACACAGAGAACCAAAAACAAAAACGAAAGAACTTTCTAGATGATACAGAGTAACATACAACAGTTAAATGGCAAAAATATATATATATATATCTATATATTTTCATAGAATTACAAACAAGTTAAAATAATGAAAACCAAAACTGTACAACTTTAAAATTTAAAAAATGTTCATCTCAAGCAAGGGAGAAATACGAGGCTCTTTGTTAAAGGGAAACGGTAACATTTTGCCCACTCGGGTCTGCTTTGACACCTCATGCTACAACTGGATACTGGCAGTAATATTCAGCGGCACTCTCTTTAGTATGGTCTACTTCAGCGATAAAGAGGAATTTGCATTGTGCATCAGTCTAGACAGAAATGTGTACAACAGTTCAAGGCCGAGTCTTCCGTTAAATTAAAGACAACAGGGCATGAAAGAGGGGGCCTGGCTGGGAGCAGGAGGGGAGGCGGGGAGGGCGCTGGCCTTCCCCCCCCCCACGCCCACCTCCCTTCCCCGCACAGAGCCGCCTTCCGAAGGCCGGAGCTGCCCGGACGCCCCTCGGCTCCAGCACTCGTTCACAGTCTATGTTCCCTTTTGAAGCGCAAGAATGCGGTGGGGAGGGGAGGTTCGGGCCGGGGGGGTGGCTGACTTTTGGCTGGGAAGGGGCAGCGCGACACCTGCTTGCCTCCAAACTCTACTTGGTAGCAGCACAAAGTTTTCCTTTCAATTTCCGGACCGCAGCAGGTGCCGCAAGAGGGGTGCGGAGAGTCACACCAGGCCCCACCCGGGGGGGGGGGGAATCACACAGCACTCGCACTGCCTAGCACACAGAGACACGTCTGTGACACACAAAAACACATCTTTTGGTTTGTTGAAGCTGCAGGGCGAGCTTTCCTCGGCTTGCCAGAGAAGCACAGAGGACAACCTACATGCTTATTCATTTGTGAGTTCCTTTATTTAAACTGAGTCTTGTGGCTGAAATCAGAAACAAATCCTCAAGTCAAAAGAAGAATCCTTTTTGCTCTTTCTGCACCAGTTGGTGAAAAGGGGTTGTCTTTGGATTTTATTTAAAGCATGAATTTCTTTTTGAAGAAACAAAACGAAACAAAAACTGGAAAACAACCCCCCACCCCCCACACATGTAACAAAAAGTCCTCGGAAAAGGAACAAGTGCCCCTCATCGTTACCCAAAGAAGCAAAGGCCAACACTTCCAAAACGGAGCCTTTGAAACATTTACAAAATGAGGAGAGGAAGCCAAAAGAAGAAGACAGAGTTAAGTGCACAAGGGTAACAGACATGTATACACCTTAAAAAGTTTTGAACCCCCAACAAAAATATTCTGCAAAGGATCCTACTGACCCCTTTGAAACCCTTTGAATTTTTTCTTTAGTTTTTATAAAATAATTCTGCAACCACCCTCTAAGAAAAGAAGGCAGTGACCGTAAGTGGAAGATTACAGGATGGACAGGTACAAAGGGCAGGGGAAGCTTCGGCGAATCGATGGGTTGTAATCTACCTGGCTAGGAATGAACGAGACAACATCAAATGAGAAGCCGCAGCTGGACCGTACAAAAGCTAAATGTACACAAAAGGAGGGGGGTTCTTTTAAATCTACCGTACTGCTTCAGTTCATTTCCAATGCAACAATCTACTCAACACCAAAAATGGTCATATCTATCATAAATACAGAAAGTCAGTTGTTTTAAAACTTATTTTAAGCTCCAAGTCCTTAACACTCTTTGTGTTGGTTTTTTTTTTTTTCTTTTCTGAAAAGTGGGAGTGCTGAACTTTTCCCCTTGAAATTGGCTTCAGCAGAAAAGCTACCCTTAAAATCCCCAGAAAGCTAACTCAGTTCACATTGTCTATCTCTTGAATACTTTCTGCCCATTTTTAAATTAACAAAAAAAATCTTTCCTTGGAAAAAAATCAAAATCAAAAAAGAAATTATATATATTTATATAAAACAATGATTCTGAAAACTGAACAAAGTGTGAGCGATTGACCTGAGAATAAAAAGACGTTACATTTCTTTTTCTTTCCTTTTAGCAAGCCATTGGTATCTGAATGCTAAGACAGCAAGAAATTTAAAACTGTGGCAAGGTGGTCTGCTTTCCCATACAGTCATGCCGGCCTCGGCTGTGCTCTGGGGGGCAGGGGCATTGCTGAGGGGGAGGCTGGAGCTCCACGACAGACAGGCAGACGGACAGACGGACAGACGGACAGGCAGACGGATGCTGGAGAGGCGCCTTCCAGATCAACACAGGGTCCCTCTCAACAGCTGAAGTGCCAAAGGAAAGCCACGGGGCGTCTGCCGGCATCAGCATATGGGAAAACAGCCCACCCTTCTCTCTTCTGTTCTCTTTTTCTTTTTTGGTTAGAAGCTTTGGAATTGCAGTCAGTCTGTTTTTGAAATTGGTTTGTTAATTTTTTAAATTCTTTTTTCTAAATTGTTCCTCTTCAAAGCTCACAATCTAAAGGTGTCCGTTTCGGCGTGTGTGAGGCCTGCACGGTCCTCGGGGCCGCCCAGCGTCTCGGGCCTCACCAGGCCGGCGGGCTCTGGGCTGTGGTCCGAGCCAGACTCCTCCAAGCGGTCGTCTGTCGGCATCGCAGGCTGGACCCCTGAGGTGCTGCACGAACTTGAGGTAACCGTTGAGGATGAGGAGAGAGGCGGCAGAGGCGGCGGCTTCCCTGGGGGGGCTGCCCGGGGGGCCGCTGGCGGCCAAGACTTCCTGGAGGTGTGGGGGGAAGCGGTGGGTGGGGGCGAGGGGCTGTCATTCGAGTGAGCGGCAGACTGCGAGGTAGATGCGGTGCTCGGGTCGGGGGGGCAGGCGGAGTGAGGTAATAGAGTGGGGTGCTCTTTGGCGTTTCTCGCTGCTCTTGGGATTGTTCGGTGTTTGTGCGCGGTGGACTCGAGGTGCTGCCGGAGGGCGTCTTCCCCGCACACCGTGCTCTCGCAGGCCACACACTGGTACGAGCCGCCGCCGCCGCCGCCAGCGGGCACGTGAAGCACCATCTCCTGCAGATCCACCCCCGGCTGGCCGAGGCAGCAGAGGGCCCGCAGGTGGTCACTGGCCGCCTCCTGGCTGCTGAAGCCCGCCTGGCACTTTCGGCAGACCAGCCGGTGCTGCACCTTTGGGACAATGAAGGGGTCGGGAGGGGCGTCCACGGCACCGTCGCTTGCCGCTTCAGGCTCTCCGTGGGGCTCGGGCGGGTGGGGGGACACCTCCTGGGGTGCCGGCTTCTGCTCTTCCGGTGTGGGGGATTCTTTGGCAGGATCTTTTTCTGGGGCAGAGGCCCCCGTGGGGACTGGGGTTTGGCTTCCTTTGGGCTGCGGCTGCAGCTGCTGCGCTTGCCGCTGCTGCTGCTGCGCTTGCCGCTGCTGCTGCTGCAGCGCTTCCTGCAGGCTCTGCTGATATTGCTGGTACTGCTGCAGCAGGGAGCCCGGGGACAGGCCGAGCAGGGCCTGCGACAGCGCGGGGCCGTAGGGGAACAGCCCTTCCATGCCGTACATGGGCTGGAGGTACCCGCTCTGCAGGGCCCCCGGGATCTGGGGGGCATAGTAGGGAGAGAACCCAGGGACGAAGTAGGGGAGGAACTGGCTCGTCAACAGAGCCGCGGGGTCTGAGCTCAGCGCTGCCTGAAGGGCCTGCAGCTGGGAGGCCTCCACCGAGTACTCCACCGCAGGCAGGCTGGCCGAGAGGGTGGGGGCGGGGGGCTCCCCCTTGTCCTTCTTAGGGGCCAGCAGAGGGTCCCCCTTGCCCTTGGCAGCTTTCTCCTTCTCTCTCAGCTTCTCGCTGTCCTTGTCCTTCCGGGATGGTGGCTGGGGCTGTGGGGGTCCCGTGGCCACGGTGGCTTGTGCTGGGCTGGGGGAGCTCAGGGAGGCCGACGACTGCTTATTTGGTAATCCAGAGGTGGGAAGGCCAGGCGAGGGGACGCTTGTGCCAGGCAGACCCATCAGGCTGGCCTTTGGAGACGTTAAAGCTGGAAAGGAAGCAGAGACAAGGGGGAGTTGCACCAAGGCCACGGCCAAGACTTGCCCCCGCCAGGCGACGGGCTGGGACGGGCGCAGCCGAGCCCCTTCCCCAGCTTTCTGCCCCCGGGATGGGCAGCAGTCCAGCAACTGGCGGGAGGCCTCCAGCCCGCCGTGATGTGGAAGCGCTTTCTGAAGGCCAATCCGTCTTCTCAGACGGGCCTTGAATACCCGACTGGCTAGTGGGCAGGAGGGCAAAAAGCCGCAAGGGGGGCGCTCCCGGCGCTCCTCTCTCCAGGAGCCTCCCTGGAACACTGGCCCAAGCTGACCGTGCACAGGCGGCCGCCAGCTGAGGTGCCACAGCTCCAGCCTCCAGGTGGGGACTGGCGAGTCCGGCTGGCAGAAGGCGAAAAGGGCAAAGGGCAGCCAGAGGAACGCCTTTGGCAACAGAGGGCCTGGTGACCCGGCCCCCTTCGCTGTGCTGCACCCAGTGGAGAAGGCAAAATGCCCCCGGCAGCACAGCCGAGGACAGACCTGCATGGAGCAGAGGGCTGCCCACCCAGCGAAGCCGCGATGGCGGTGGGCGCTCTGTGGGCCAGCCTCTCCCGCACGGCCTGGAAGCCGTTCCTCTCCAAAGGAGCGTGGAGCGCAGTGTGTGGACACAGCTCCTGTACAAGTCCAGGGCCACCGCAGGAGGGAGGAGCTGTCCCTGCCGCTGCCCGAGTCTATGCCGACCGTCTGCCTCCTGGCAACTCACAGGCAGCCGAGGGCCTCGGAGGAGCTCGCAAGGGGCTCTTCCTCCTCCAGCTGGACAGAAAGTGCCGGGCCAGAGATGCCGCAGTGGTGCCGCTGCCCCCTCCCCTCCCCTCCCCTCACTGCCCCCCCTCAGCTCTCCCCGCACCCCCTCTGCCCCAGGCCCCAGCCCCAGCCGAGTGTGCCCAGGAGCTGCCAGAGACGGGAGCCACTCACCTGCGTTTGAGGGGGTGAAGCCAGGCAGGGAAGGGCTGTTCAGGCCCGGCAAGAGGACGGGAGGGATGCCCTGCAGGGATGTCGGGTAGGCAGCAGGAAGGTTCAGCGCCTGCAGCGGGGGGCTGTCGAACAGGCCTTGCTGCTGGGCAGCCAGGCCAAGGACCTCGTTGGCTTTCTTGATCCGGTCCAGCTCCTGCTGCGCCATCAACTGGCGGACAGTTGCGGGGTCAAAGTACTCCTTCTCCTTGTCCAGCTGGCTTCCAATGGTGTCCTTCACTTTGGAGATGTGCTGCTGGGAGAAAATGTGGTCCCGCACGGACAGGCGGGCGCTGTACTTGATGCCGCACAAAGTGCATTCTGTCTTGGGTCCCTCGTAGCTCGCCTGGTTAATGCCAAAGTGCTTGGCCATGCTCAGCTTTGACTTCTTCTCCTTGGCCCGAGCGTTCTGGAACCAGACCTGAACGACCCGCTTGGGCAGCCCGATATCATTGCCGAGAACCTCACACTCCAGCATGGTGGGTGTTCGGTAGTCATTGAAGCAAGACTTGAGGACCTTCAGCTGGAGGTTGGTCATCTGCGTGCGGAAGCGCTTCTGCCCGGGCCGATCCCCGCCATCCCCGGACTTGCCCGCTGACCCGCTGGTGCCGGGGCTGGGCGAGCACGGGTCCGCCAGGCTGGAGGTCTCGCTGTAGTCCACGGTGCCCTCGTTGTCGTACTCCTTGCTGTAGAAGCTGGGAGCGGGGCTGACCAGGCCCGACGACAGCCTGTCCTCGTACTCTGACATGGCCATCATGGCAGCCTTGGTGAGGCCCTCGCTCGGCCCGGACGAGCACCTGGCTTCCGTGGCGAGGCCAGTGGCGCTGTCGTTGTCGGCATTGCCCTCGTCGCCTGTGGTGGTGTCTGTGATGGCAGTGTTGACTGATGAGCAGTCGTCGTTGTCCAGCTTGGCTTGGTCGAAGCTCAAGTGCACCGAGGCGATGGAGGGGCTCTCAAAGTCCTCGAGCCCTTCCACCTTGATGGAGGAAGGGCTCAGCAGGGTCCCGGGAGAGAGCTCGAGCGACTTGCCCACGGGTGAGAGAGGAATGCCCTGGCTGTCGGTGCCGCTGCCGGGGGGAGGCAGGTGGGAAAAGCTGGCTCCATCGAAAAGGTCCCCCTTCACCTGGAGCCCTCCGTCGCAGTCTAACAGCATGGCCGACAAGGTCAAGTTGTACCCTGCCCGCTTGGCTTCGTGCCAGTGCCGGGACCGGATGTGTGCTTCCAGGGCTGTCTTGGCCTTGAAGAGGGCCCGGCAGAAGGGGCACCGCCGGTGGGCTTGGGCGGGCCCCACGGCCCGGAACTGCCCTTTGCGCTCCCGGGCCCGCGTGTTCTGGAACCACACCTGCACCACACGCTTCTTCAAGCCCACCTCATGGGCGATGTGGTCGAGCATCTTCCGGGTGGGGTTGGAGTCCAGCAGGTATTTCTGGTACAGAACCTCCAGCTGCTCGGGGGTGATGGTCGTCCGGAGGCGCTTGTCCCGCTGCGGCTCCTCCCCGCCTGCGCTGCTGTCGTTCTCCCCGGGGCTCACGCTGGCCTTCTCCTCCAGCTTCCGCTTCAGCGTGCTCGTCGTTGACGCCGGCGTGGAGGGCGAGGTGGCTGAGCTCATGGGCAGCTGCGGGAGAGCCCCCGAGAGCAGCTGGCTGGCCAGCAGGGGGCTGCTGGGGTCGAACAGCATGAAGGGCATGTCCAGCGCCCGGTCCAAGAACTGAGGGTGGAGGAACTGGTTCTGGGCACTCAGGAAGTGCAGCTGCTGGTGCTCCTGCCAGTGTTCGAAGGAGGGGAAGGCCAGCTTGCACTGGTCGCACTGGTACGGGATGAGCTGAGGGGGCAAGCTGGCCAGCTGCTGAGGCGCAGAGGTGTGCAGGGGCTTGAGGGACAGGTGAGGGAGCTGCGAGGAGGGTGCAGGGCTTGACCGGGGCAGGGTGCACTGCGGTGGATCCACCAGCTGCTGCGAGGTGCCGGGGGAGTGCTTTGGGTGCAGCGAGCTGGCCTTGGGCTCCCCCAGGTCTGGCAGCGGCAGCACCTCCTGCTTGGGCTGCATCTGCTTCTCTGGAGCCAGCTGCTGCTGCGTGACAGGAGGTTCGGGTTGCTTGGGCTTCTCCTCCGCCATTTCAGCTTTGGAGCAGTAGGCAGAGGAGTCGTCCTCTGCTTGTGGCAGGAACGCCGAGGAGGAGGAGGAGCAGGGGGCTGGGGCGGCCGTGGAGGGGGAGGTACTGTGGGCCTGGGCAGGCATCGGGGTGCTGCAGGAGGAGCTGGTGGGCGTCAGGAGCTCGGCTGCATCCATGGAGTCCTCATTCTGGCTGTCCTCCTGGCCTTCCTCATCCTCATCCTTGTAGCACAGCTTCTTCTGGTGCTTGATCAAGTCAAAGATGCGCTGGAAGACGAGACTGCACTTCTTGCACTGGTAGTTCAAATTGCTTGTCCGGATGTACCTGTCGTTTGTCAGCTCCCGCCGCTCCCCATCTTTGCCCTCCCCCTGATTCTCGTAATTCTTCCTGGCCTTCTGGCGAGCATTCTGGAACCACACCACGATCACGCGGGTCGGAAGGTTGAGCAAATTGGACAGCTGTTCGAATTCGTCATCCTTTGGGTAAGCATTTGCGTCAAAGAAGTCCTGCAGCACCCGGAGCTGGTAGTCCGTGAAGCGTGTGCGGGAGGAGCGCTTGCTCCCCCAGTACTCCTGCTTCTGAGGCTCCGGGGAGGGCGGCCGGGAATCCACCTTCAGGTCCTCCAGGCTGGTAATGGGGGGGTTGCTGAAGTTGTACGGAGAGTCTTTGTTGCGCTGGCGCTCCTTGAAGAGCGTGTTCCGGAACCAGTGCTTGATCACCTTCTGGGGCAGGCCAGACTTGTCCGCCATCTCCTTTATCTGCTCCTCGCTCGGGGAGTTGTTGATGTCAAAGTACTGCCTCAAGACCCGCAGCTGGTCGTCCGTGATCCGCGTGCGCGGCCGCTTGTTCTGCTGCTGCTGCTGCTGCTGCTGCTGCTGCTGCTGTTGCTGCTGCTGCAGAAGGCCGGGTGTGAGCTGGTGCTGGTAGAGCTGGGCCAGGTCTGCGGGCAGGGGCTCGACCGGGCCGAGCTGCGGGGGCAGCTGTGCTGGCAGGCTCTGCAAGGGCAGGCTCTGCATCATCAGTGGGGAGAAGAGGGGCAGCTCCATGGGCATGGGCAGCTGCGTGAGGGGCAGGGGTGGCTGGGTGGGGGCCAGGGTGGGGGACGGGATGATGGGTGGCTGGGAAACCGGGATGGTGGGGGTGGGAGGGGGCTGCTGCGGGGACACGGCGGGGAGGGGGGGCGGGGGCGGCGGGGGTGGCTCCGGCGTCTGGGGCCGCAGCGGGTAGAGCTTGTCGTAGTGCTCACGGTACTGCTTAGCAAAGCGCTCCAGCTGCCGGAAGGGGAAGTAGTGCTGGTGGACGTGCTCCTGGTGGCTCTTCAGGATGAGGACATTGGAGAAGAGCTTGCCGCAGGCCTCGCACTCCAGCTTCTCGGCGCCCTCGCCCTGCTCCGCCTTCCCAGCTCTCTTCTGCACCTTCTGCTTGTTCTCATTGTACTGGATGACCAGCTCAAAGCCAAAGTTTTCCAGCAAGGCCTTCGTGGCGTTCCCGCGCGCATCGGACGCGATTCGGGGCGGGAGCAGGGAAGGCTCCGCAGGACCTGCTCCCGCCGTGGCCACCCCCAGCTCGGTCTTGTCTTTGGACCTGGTGGCCTCTGGCAGGGGCTCCTTCGAAGTGGCGCCGCCCTCGAGCTTCTCCGAGCCCTCCCGGTCACGCTGGAGCTCCCTCTCCTTCCCGGCGGGCTTGCCCTTCTTGTCCAGGGGCTGGCCCTGCTGCAGGAGGACGCAGTGTGGCTGCGGTGGGGGCGGCTGCTGCAGGATTTGTGAGGGACCTGGCTGGGGGAGCTGCACCTTCAGGTCCTCCAAGAGGCCGGGCCCCGTCCCCGTCAGAGTCAAGGTGCCGCTGGTCACGGGCAGGCTCACGTCGGCGTTCAGCTGGAAGTCGGCACTTGGGATGTAGAAGGGGAAGAGGAGCTGCTGCTGCTGTTGTTGCTGCTGCTGCTGCTGGAGCTGGAGCAGCGTCTCGGTGGTCATCGGGAAGTGCGGCAAGAGGGCAGGGTTGAAGAGCTGGGACTGCAGCAGGGCAGCCTGCTGCTGCAGCTCTTGCTGCAGCTGTGCCTGGGCCTGTGCCTGGGCCTGTGCCTGGGCCTGTGCCTGTGCCTGAGCCTGGGCCTGGGCCTGTGCCTGGGCCTGGGCCTGGGCCTGGGCCTGGGCCTGGGCCTGGGCCTGGGCCTGGGCCTGAGCCTGAGCCTGAGCTTGGGCCTGGGCCTGGGCCTGGGCCAAGGTGTGTGCTGCCGTCTGCTGCTGCTGCTGCTGCCGGGAGGCTATCATGTCGGCCAGTTTCTTGCGGTTGGCATCCTTTGGCTCCACGGGGCTCGAGCCGGCTGCAGGGGCAGCACCAGTGCTGTGGGGGGTGCTGAGGGGTGGGACATCGCAGGAGACCTGGCTGAGCAGGCTGGGAGCAGGCGCTGTGCTGTCAGGGCCGGCGCTGGTCGTGGCAGAGGCCGCAGCGGTGCTCACGGGGCTGGATGCGGAGGGGCAGCCTGAGGAAAGGCTGCCGCTGCTGCCCCCCGCGGCCTCCAGCTTGGCCGCCCGGGCTTTGGTCTGGTGCAGGACGGAGCGCATGTGGATCTCGAGGGTGGAGCTCTGGCTGTAAGCCACGCTGCAGGTGCCGCACTTGAAGGGCTTGATGTCGGGGCTGCTGGTCGGCTCTGGCTGGCCGGCGGTGGACTCCTGCAGGGCGCGCTTCAGCTTGTGCAGATGGGAGACGGAGTTGTAGTGCACCAGGAGGATGTTCTTCTGTGTGAAGGACTCCTTGCAGACGGTGCACTTGTACGGGCGGGAGGGGTCCAGGAACTTCTCCATGGTGAAGTTGGGGCCCTTGCGGAAGGGGAGAGCACGCTTGGGTTCTGCGCCCGAGTCCTCCTGCACAGACCCGGAGTCACTCCCCACGGGGCTCTGCTTGTCCTCCAGGTCGCTCTCCTCTTCCTTGTCCTCCTCCACAAGGAGGGTGTGGTCTTCGGCCAAGGAAGGGTCCCCCATGGCCAAGAGGTCTCCATTGGCCAGGAGCCCCCCGTAGAGCTGCTGGATGTCGGCCTCGCTCAGCTCCAGGTGGCTCGTCTCCAGGTGCTTCTTGAGGGCTTGAAAGGTGCGGAAGCTGCGCTGGCAAAGGCAGCACATGGTGGCTGCCCGGATGACGTGGTACTGGGAGTGCAGCTGAAGCTTCTCGATGGTTTTGAATGCCAGGCTGCACTGATTGCAGCGGTATTTGTAGACGTGCCGGTCCGAGACGGGCAGCTGGGGCCTCTTCGTATGCACCTCGCTGAAGTGGGCCTGCAGCGCGGTGGAGCTCTTGAACGCCTGGCTGCAGCCCTTCTTCCAGCAGAGAAACCCGCCGTCGTCCCTGGCAGAGGCCTGGTCAGGTGGGGCGGGCTTCAGCTCTCCGCCACGCTCTGGATTCTCAGAAGGGAGCAGGCCTTTGCCCGGGTCCTCTGAGGTCTCTGTGGAAGCGGGGTCAGAGGAAAGAGAGACCATCCGTCACCCGGGGCCGTGTGTCCTGGGCCAGTCAAGGATGCCGCCATCACTACATCCGATGCATTTGGAACTACCGCCAGGACAAAAATCTGGCCAAGAAGTGGCTACCCCCTTCCCTTTTCAAGAAGCAAGGACTCTCTTGTTCATGCTCGCACCCCCCGCTGACATCACACCTCAGCACACGTGTCCCTGGCCGGCTCTTCCCTCCATGCTTCTGAATCTCTGGGCCAACCTTCTGGCTCTGCATCAACCACCCTTTCTAAGGATGGATTCAGAGCAGGCAAAATACTGAAGGTTGTGAGCAACTGATTGCTACTCAGTTGCAAGGAGAGAGGGAGGCAGCAAGCAGCAGAGGAGGGCTGTGGCGGGCAGAACACGGCACTGCAGGCCCCTCCGTCGTACGGAGGGCAAACGCATCCCGGGCCGGTTGAGGAAGCAAGGACACATGCAGCCCCCGCCCCGCGCCCCCTGGAGACAATGGGGGACCTCACCACGTCACAGGCTGGAAAATCTGCTTCACAGCCCAGGACAAGGGTGGGGCCACCCGGCCCGGGCCACCCCAGGCAGTTGTGGGGCCAAATAAGCCCCACCTGCAGGAACCCTCAAGGCAAGCACAGGCCCGGGCCACGTTCTGGGGCCCCTCATGCCCCTCCCCGAACCCCAAGGGGCTGTTCAGAATAGCTCAAACTTGCCGCAAGCCCCTTTTAGACTGCGGGGTGTCCCGGAAGCTGAAGGAAGTCTGCTTTAAAGAGACTGACCAGGCTGCTTGGCTGGTGGGTCAGTGCTGGCATTCCCATCTCGGTCTGGTGTCGCAGCGGGGATGAACATGCTGCTCGGCATCATCACCTCTGGTGTGGTCACCTGTGCGTGCCGGAAGAGAAGAGGGAGGGGGACAGCGGGGCCCTTAAAGCCGGCAGCCAGGCAGCAGGTGCCCCAGCACGGGCACAGCGCCGGGGGACCGCCCTCAGCCCCTGCAGGCTGGAACGCGTCTGTGGCTGTGCTGGCACGGCCGAGGGCCCCCCTCAAAAGCAAGCGCCACTCCCCGTCTACTTCCGCCCACAGCGCCTGGCCGGCTCGGTCCGGGCACTGGTGGGCCCGTGCAGGGAAAGCCCAGCAGTCCCTCTGCTGCCCTGCACCCCGGAGGGCTCGACCCAGCCCGGAGCCAGGAAGGGCTGCAGCACGGTTCCCGCAGCGCCTGAGGCCAGAACGGAGGGGCCACAAAGGGGAGAGCGGGCGAGGGAGGGGGCTGAGTGGGGAGAGAAGCAGCAGGGGCAGCCCCCTTTGCTGCCGCTCCCTCCGCCGCACCCCACAGCTGGGTTCCCCGAACAGGCAGTCTGGAGAGCAAGGGACAAAGCTCGATATCGAGGAGGCACCGGGGCAGCCCTCACCTCCACCACTGCGGCAAGGAAGCAGGTGAATCGAGCAGGCGCTCCCGAGGCACGCAAGGGCTACCCAACCTGTGGCCAGGCTTGCAGTGAGCTGAAGCGGCGGCAGCAGCAGCCAGTTTGCTGCGAGTGGAAGCTTTCCTTAGGGTGATAAAGCAGTGGACAAAGGAAGCCCGGCGCCTCACGCCTGTCCCGCCTCCATCATGTCCAAAGCTGTGTGGGTGGTTCTGGGGAGCCCCACATCCAAGAGGTCACTGTGGAGCTAGGAGCAGGTAGCTCCAGCAGTCAAGGAATTCAGGGCACCTTCTCCAAGAGGAAAGGCCCAGACTCATCTCTGCCCAGGAACGTCTTCGCTTAGTGGGGGAGAGACGAGTGACTGGCGGGTCAAACGACACACGGTGTCAAGCGGCCTTTCCCCTACGTGTGAGGCATCAGTGTCATCCGCCACAACTGGCAGGCAACACAGGCTGAGAACTGACGACCAAAACCTTTCTGCTTGCGTCCCACACTTGTCTGAGGCAACTCAGGACGCTGAGACCACTCTGTGAGAAGCTGGCGACAGGCAGGCCCCGCAGAAGCCCTGCCCGGTCTCCCAGGCCCCCCGCGCCCCCCGCCCTGCTGCCAGAGGCCCGCTTGGCCATGCCTCTGGACAGCGGCTGTCCAGAAGCATGGGGCAGCTGCCAATCCTGCTGCTCATGGCTTTCTGCCCAAGGGCGGTGGCCCCGCAGGAACCCACTTTCTGCTGCTGGCTCCTCTAAGCTTCCTCGGCTAAGCACCCCGCCCAGCGAGCCCAGGTGGGCCCCGCCGACCACAAAGGACGCGTCACCGTCCTCCACGGGAGGCCCGTGGTCCCCAGCGCCCACCAGGCCGTTTGCAGGGGCCGAGCTTCGCCACAGCGGTGGAAGGACGAGGCCGCCTCGTGCCAGAGCCTTGCGCCAGGAGGGCTGTCGGGGAGCGGAGGGGCTCGCCATGCACAGGCCACTCGGAGGGTGCCTCTGGGGGGAGGGGACCCGGAGCTCCCAAGCCACGGGCCTCCCGCCTGCTTCCGTGGCAGCCTCGCCCCCACATGGGGTGGCCTCCGGGCTGCAGAGATGAAGGGAGTGGGGAGCAGGCGGAAGGACCAATGGACTGCGGGAGGAAATACAGGCCCCGCTTGCCCACATCAGCCGGTCAAGCACTTTCTCTGCCTCTGCAAAAATAATTCAGGAGGAAGTTCTAAAAAGGATCCCGCGGAGCAGACAAAGGATAATATTTTCTAACCTCTGAATTGCACATTATTACTGCAAAGCATGGTCTTCTCTCAGAGCGGTGGGAAAGTGGCCACCCCCACTAACGGAGAGGCAGTACGACAGATCTGTAATTGTTTTCATACACTTTAATTAGAAAAACTCAGATGGCTACGAATAATAATGGAAAGAGAGGCTTTTGCACTTGAAAGGTTGAAGTCAATCAAGTGTGAATGACGGCAAAACCAAAAGGGGGGGAGAGAGACCAACTCATCAGGCGTCTGTTGTCTTGCCACGTCTTTAATCATAATTCCTGATTGGGATTCAAGAAGGCAGTAAGCAGCGATTCGTTGTCTGCCTTCACCTTCCGTCAATTAACTCTCCCTGAAATATAATCATCAACTTCACGTGCTTCTCTGCATCTCAATCTGCCGCTGCCGCTGCTGCAGCCAGTCAGCCGCCCGCCCGCCACCGAGCCCTTCCACGGGCGCCTCGCCCTTCCCTGCTCCTTGCTGGCACCTCCGTCCAGCCGGCGGGGGGTGGGGGCCATGGCAGCGCCCGGCGTCCTCCAGTTCCTTCCAGGCAGAGTTGCCAGCAGGAGCAGCCGGGAGGGAGGGCTGTGGGTCCCCCTGCAGAGCAGGGGGCGCCCCGGCTCTTTGCTCTCCCTGACATCGAGGGCTTTGCGGGGGGGGTGGCACAGGGCAAGCTGCTGGGGTGGCTGCACGCAAGCGCCTCAACTCCCGCCTGCGCCCTGCGCATGGCCGCCTCGTCCTCTGCACCCCCCTTGATGGGGCTGTGGAGTCACTGCAAGGGGCAGGCGCACCAATTGGAAGACCTGTGAGCCCAGCACTGTCCGGGAGCATCCCGACCACATGATTCCATCACCGCTGAACGGAGCTCGCGGCCCTCCCTGCGTCTGAGGCCCGGAGGGCGGTTTTCACTTCAGCTGCAAAACTCAGGGCAGGTGGGGCGTCAACGTGCAGGTAAACAAGCAGGAGGCAGGAATCCGGGCCAAGCTATCTGGGCCTACAAGAGATTGGCCAGGAGACCAACCAGCCTTGCACTGGCTGATCCTCTTCCAGCAGAGTCCCAAGCCAGCTCCCATTGCAGAGCTGCCCCACAGCTGCCAGGTGCCCCTGCCCCCCGGAAAAGCATTCCTACCCGCACACACCCTCCTCACGCCAGGCCTTCCTAAGGCAGGCTTAGACTGGAGCCTAACAGGTCCAGAGTGAAATCCCCAGCAAGAGCCTGAGGAGACACATTAGCATCTCCCCTGTCCACACCATGGGGGGAGTGGGAGCCTGGGAGGATGAGGTTCCAGAGCCAGACAAAGGAGGCAATTTCCATGACAAAGCATGAGCAGAGCAAGAGAGGCAGCCAGCAGCAGCAGGCAGCAGCGAGGAGCAGAGCGAGCTGGAGAGAAAAGCTTCATTAGGCTCAGAGGCAGAGCGATGGCGCTATCCCAAGGTCACTTCTAATTTAGACCACCTAATTGGCAAACATGGCTCCAAATGGCCATCATCTCACAGGGCTCAGAATTAATGAAGGCCGATTATTTTCATTACCTTCATCTGAGATGGGGAATGAAATGGGGGGAGGCGAGGTGAGGGAGAGGGGAGGAGGCTGAATGACAGAGGGGGGAGGGGAGCGCAAGTGAGGTGGGCACCAGCGCCGTCCCCAGGCAGGGAGACAAGGGGACGCAAAGGGGTGGCCGAAGCCGAGCCAGCGGCCAGCGACGGGGTGGGGGCTCAGCGGCGCAAGGCGCCTGGCCCAGCCGAGGGCTGCGCGGGTGGCCACACAGCCCTCGTCCACCGGCCCTGAGAAGGCAGCAGCTGCTGGGCACAGGCCGCGCCCCTGCAGCAAGGAGCTAGGAGAGTGCCCGGCCAGGGCCAGGCCCCGCTGCTCCCAGCAGCACTCCTGCGAGGGGGGGGGGGTCCAGCTATTGTTGGCTGATCAGAGAGGAGGGGGCAGGGAGGCAGAGCGGGATGTGCGTCGTTATGGCAACAGCAGCATGGAGCACTGCGCCGCTGCAGGGCTGCTGGGCGTGGGAGCTGCCGCCTCTTCCTCCTGCCCCATCCCAGCGTAAGCGGCAGCCCAGAAGGCAGGCGCCCGGGGCCCCAGGCAGAGCCGGCCCCGGCCCCCGGCCTCTCCCGGCCTCCCTGGCAGGCTGGCCTCAGCAGAGCTGCGAAGGAAGCCGCCGGTCGGCCTCACGAGCAGCTTTCCGGCACCCACGAGGGGAGCTTCGGGAGCAGCCTTGGAGGCAAACTCAGTGGGGGGGGGGGGATGGGCCGGGAAGCCCCGCAAGGGGGCGGGGGGGCGCCCCCGCCCAAAGGGGGAAAGGGCGGGGCGGGAGGCTGGGGGGGGGGGGGAGGGGGGGGGGCAGGACAGAGGGGGTCCTCGGAAGCCCGGCAAATGGTCAAGTGATGGGATGCCTGGAGCGGGGCCAGAGGGGGTGCAGCGTGGCTTGGCAACAGCCTGCCTGCAGGCGCATTCGCCAAATCAAAAGAAGGCTCCCCCACCCCCCCCGATTATGCATTTTCAGGCCGTGGGGTTCACCGCCTCGAGACGTGGCAGCCACCCGTGCAAGACGCACGCCTCCAAAGCGGGGAGACGAAGGCATGGAGGAGACGACGACCCTTTTTAGGCAGCAGCATGAAATGGATCCTCCCTGTTGAGGTCGCCTGTGTCTGGAAGGCCGCCTCGGGGGCCGCGGGCGGCAGCGGAGCCCTCAGCTCGGGGCAAGCCTGCAAGGAGAGGCCTCGCCAGGGCCGGGGCCTGTGCTGCACTCCAGCCGTCCTCCTGGTTTCTGGCCCACGACTGGCTTGCCCACCTGCACTGGCTTCCCCTTTTTCCGATCCAGCTCCTCGTGCTGCCCCAGTCGGCTTTGGCCGTGGGCCCCTCGCCGCCCCTGTGCGGTCTGCTGGTGGCAGGCGGTGGGCGAGGCAGTCCGGAGCGGGCCTGCTTGCTCCCCCCGTGCCAGCGCAAGGAGTCGCCGTGCCAGGCAGTGTCCCCGGGCACACTGGCCACTGCGGAGAGCCGAGCACAGACGGCCGTCGGAGCGCCGGGGCAGCTCCTTCCTCCGCTCTGGTGTGCTTTGGAGACTCACCGTCAAGATGAGCTTCTCCACGCAGTCGGGAGACACACTGTGGAGGTGCGTGAGGTGCAGCTGCAGGTGGATCTTGTTGCTGAGCATGTCTTGGCAGAGCGGGCACCGGAGCAGGGGCTGGACCGAGTGCTGGGTCATGGCGTGGACCCGCAGCCTGTTCACGTCTGTGTTGCTGTACTTGCAGTACGGGCACTGGTACATCTAGCGAGCAGAGGACGACAAGAGGCTTTGGTGGCGCGGCAGTCCCGGTGCAGCCCCCGGCCCTGCGGCACCCGAGGCGGCTCACCTCGGAGCCTGCCGTGCTCGTCTCCCTGGGGCCACGGGTGCCCCATGCCACCGGGTGGCGCGCTGCCTGCAAGGCCCACGAGGGCAGAGAGGCAGGCTGGACGTGGCCAGGGCTCTCCCGAGCACGCGCCGGCCACCCGGTGCCTCACCTGCTCCACCTTCGTCTCATCTGAGGTTTTTGGCCATTTGGTGACAGGCGACTCTGAGCTTCTCGGGAAGGAAATCCGTTTCGAGGCAGACAGGGACTCAGAGGGCTCTTTCTCAGGCTGGGTGGCTTGTGCTGCAAAACAAGGAGGGAAAGATCCAGCTGCGTGAGCATGTGATGCCATCCACTCTGGAAGGGCTGTGTGAAAGACAGACAAATGCAGCCACGCAGGAGCAGCGGGATCTGATTCTGAACGCCCTCAGGTCACGCACGCACCGGTGGCCCCCACATGCTGCGCCACCTTTCCTGGGCTGCCACGACACCACCCGGGTGTGCGCAAGTGCTTGTATGGCACCGCCGCCATGGAGCGGAAGGGGGCACCAGTGCTGGGCCGGCAGCCCGCGGGAGCCGTAAGCCAGCTTGCGGTGGAGCCGCTGCCGGAGGCCGAGCACAGAAGGCGACCGCGAAAGCCCCAGCACACGCTGGCCGGTGCCCGCCCCCCACAGTGCTGCCGCGATCGGAGCCACCCCATGCCCCACACCATGGAGGAGGGAGGTTTCATTCTGCGAAAGAAAAGCGTAGAAAATGCAGCGCCACCGGCCCTGCCACCCAAATGTGCCTTGGCTCCAGACACTGGTTCTCCCTTGCGCCCCAGCGCCCAGCCTCCGGCAAGCGAGTGTGTACTTCGCGTGCGGCGAAGCCCCGAGGGGTGAACTGCTTCCGACGGCTCTGAGAAGACCTGTCAGTTCCGGGATAACACAAGCATCCCGGCCAGGATTCTTTGGAAATTCCTCCAGCGAAGGAGCACGGGAGGGAGATCTGCCTGAGCTGCCCCACTGCGTCCATTCCCAATTCGATCCAGGGCAGCAAGGAAGGCTGCTGTGGGGAGGCTGGAGCTGTGGGCCACTGCTCCCCACGCGGGACGGTCACGTGGACCCAGCTCGCATGGCATCTGCCCCGTCCCGATTTAGGGGTGGGGATGCAGCTTCTCGCTAGATGCTACAAGGATGACCTAGGCCCCCGGGAACACGAGGAAGGCAGAACAGCAGCAGGGAATCTTCCAGGAAGCTCGCGTTCTTCCCAGAATGCCCACCTCGTGACCTTTGAACTCTGCCCCCCGGAGCACATAAATGTGCAAGGCATCTATTATTTAAAAACTACAAGGACAAGCATATTATGCGCAGCCCGCAAACGCACACATTCAGAACAGTACTTTAATCTGTCTCGAATCGACTTCAAACCCATTTCACCCTTAATGGGAGTTATTCATTTTCACTTGAAAGGTAATATATGACAGCTGGATATTTAGCATGATGGATTGGCTGCCGATTAACTAGGCGGTTTAACGCTCCCAGCTTGTTCTCGCCCATCATTCCCTTCCACTCACCCCCCTGAAAGATGCAAGGAGGTGGAGGGGTTGTTAAAAATATAACAAAGAGGGGCCCTGGATATGATGGCCGAGGAAGAAGACAACTGGGGCCTAAGGACGAGCAAGGCACAGCGGGGCGGGGGGGGGCACGTCCTTTCCTGGGGTCCACGCGAAGCCTTGGTGACAGCGCCGCCGAGAAACAGACGGCTTTCTGTGAGGGGGCAACTGAAGGATGGGTGAAGCAGCCCCACCTGTGTGGGCAGCCAGAGGGGCAGCGGGGCTGTTTGGAGGAGGAGAGAGTCAGTGGAGGGCAGGGAGCTGCAGGAGAGGGACCTGCAGGCAAGGGTGCGCCCGGCCGAGCAGCGGAAAAACAGGCAGGCCTGGGGGTTGTGCCAGACCTGCAAGCAGGCCGGAGGAGGGCTGCTGTGCAGCTGGACGGACAGGGGACCCATTCTGGCTTCAGGGGGCTTCAGCTACAGGCAGTACAGAGGTGCAATTAACAGTGAGAATTGTAGTCATTAGAGCGGTGAGAGAAGATGGGTGGACTGAGACTGCAGAAAGCCAAAGAGGACACCACTTGGTTTGGCCAAGGAGGCAGTAGGCATAGGAAGAAGCGCCACGTTGCCGTGCCATCGAGGGAGCAGCGATATGGCTCGGCAACGGGCTGTCCGTGGGGAACGAAGGGGACGGCAAGGGGCGGAGGAGGAGGAGGAGGCCTGCGGGGAGCCTCGCAGCCAGCGTGTCCCGCGTGAGGGGCAGCAGCCGCGTGTCCGGGCAGACCTGACCGGCAGGCCGCTGAGAGGGGCGGGTCGCACACTGGCAGCGGCAGCGAGCAGCTGCCCCCAATGCTGGGCTGGCCCTGTAAGCCGCGTGCTGGCTGAGGGGCACCGGGGGCTGGAGACCGGCGGGAGGCCCACGGGAGGGAGCGCTCGCCCCAGGGAGGCTCCGGAGCGTCATTCAGATGGGGGCAGCCAGGCAGAGGCTGAATCCGGCGATCTGGGGCATGCGAGAGTCGCGCATGGGAGGTGACCGAGGGCTTCTCCCCGCATGGGGCTGTGCCCTGTCCAGGCAGCTTCCACGACTGGGCAGCAGGGACAGGAGAACCTTCACCATCATCTGCCTCCTTCCCGGGGCTCCCCGTCCAAAGACTTCACATCAGCCTCTGGGGACCAGAGTGCAACCAGTGCAGCCGAAAGAGGGGGTTGCACAGGCCTCCCTCAGACTTGCAGAAATGCAGTGAAATACTCCAAAAATTTCATGAGTTGTTGGCTTGGTCCTTCGTACCATTTGCCTCAATAGGAGACAAGGGCTGAACCTTCCCTACAAGAGGGGCTGCGACAGCAGACGGTTTTCTGCCCAGGCATTTCCAGGGGTCTCAGCCTCCCTCTCTGCTGCCTGTGTGCTAGGAGAAGCGGCACGGAGGTGCCGCTCCGGCAGCCCAGCATCCGATGGGGAGGGCTGACCCGCCGGACCCAAGACTGCCCCCCTCGCCCTCCCCAGCCATCAGCTCCTCTGACTCAGGCACTGCCGACAGCCCCTTCATCTAAACTTCCATCCACAAACCCAGAAGCATAATGGAGAAGCCAATTAAATGATTATTAATTCATGCTGCTTTCCGTAAGCCAAGGGTCTCGAGCTCTTAGCATTCCGAAAGCCAGCTTGCCATGGGCCCCAGAAATTTACAGCAGGACTCCCCATCGCTGGTCTGCCCCCAGCCACAGGTGCCCCACTCTGTAGCATCCCAGGGGGCCTGGGGGAAAGGGGGCACTGCCGAGCACACCCCGTTCCAGGGGGAACTGGGGCAGGGAAAGGGGGCAGGCGGTGGGCCGTGCTGCCTCCCCCGCGGAGGCCTGAGCGGGACATGCGGGGACTGAGCCTCGCCGCAGCCACTGCCGCCCTCAGAACCTCAGAAGCCGAGGGACCCAGAGGAGCACGTGGGTGGAGACCCGGTCCAAAGAACACACCGAGTAGACCCAGCCTGAGCATGCATCCGGCGGGGGGATCGCGCTGGACATGGTACTCCGAGCTGCTCCGTAGAGAAAGGTGGGCAAGGAAGCACAGCCATCGCTCCGGAAGAGCAGAAACACTCGCATTCCGACTAAGACTGGCAAGCTGAGAAAATGGGCAAAGATTTCAAATCCACAAAGGGTCACACCAGGCAAGGTCCGCTCAGAACCTGCCAAGGGAACGGGCCAGAACTTGTCAGGGGAGAGGGGAGCTGCAAGGAGTACGGCTGAGGAATCAGGAAGGAGGACGTGGCCAGCGGAGGGGGGCCCTCCTCAAGGAAGGGGGGCCCTGCCCCACCCTCCAAGCATCCAAGCAGGTGCCGGACCGGCCCCCGTGAAGCAAGGCCAGCGTGCGCCTGCAGGGCGAGTGTGTCTCGTTGCCACAGGAGTGGACGAGAGACACCCTTGCCTGGGTTCCGACACAGTCTGTGCCACATCTGACGCAGCGCCCTGCTCAGACAGGCCCCTGGGGGACGCCGCGGGCCGGGGGTGCCCAGAAGCCCCAGCCACCCTCTCCAGCACCAGAGGCAGGGTGGCACCTGGCTTCTTGGAGAAGGAGGTGAGGCGGGCCGGGCCCGGTCCTTCCTGGGCTGCTGGCACACGCCTTGCAGGTGGAATATCCCTTAAATGAGGCAAAGGGTGGAAAGGGGGTTCTTCCAGGCGACAGGAATTCATGGAGGGGAAGCCTGTCAGTAGCTCCAGGCCACGACGGCTAGACCTGCCCTCCAGGCAGGCACAGGGCCAGTCGGCCGCAGCCTTCCCAGGGTCCAGCCAGGACCCTTCCCAAAGCCCACTGCGGTGGGCGGCAGACTGCGGTGGTGCTCCGGCCCGGGTGCGGATGTCGACTGGCAGGAGGCTGGTTCGCCACTGCGGCTCAGAACAGAGGATGGGAGGGGCCTCTGGCCTGGTCCGTCCCCAGGCCTCACCTTCACCCTCACCTGCACCTCCCCAGTCATGCAGCCCCACTTGCTCTTCTCTGGAGCGGCTCAGAGTTGCTCCTATTTCCTCTGGTTGCTCAGTGGGTAGAATGTCTGCCTGAACCGCTGTGCAAACGCTCCTGTCAGAGCACCCATTCCCCAGAGCCTTTCATCTTCAAAGCCACCTATCTCTCTCTTTACTCAGAATTCAAGTTCACTTGCATGCTACTTATTACCCAACAAAAATTTGCATTCCTAGTCTCAGAAATGAGACTCATCAGCCTCATTTTTACTAGCAGAGTAGAGAGAGAGTGCGGAAGGCCCACTTGGAAAAAACTCAGCAAAACAGGTAAGTGGAGCAGGGTGGGTGGGAGTGCGGGGGGCGGGGTCCAAGCCTCCTGACAACCAAGGGCTCCCCAGCCACTCACCTTTCCATTTGACGTGGTCCTTGTCAGTGGCACTCTCCGGATCTTTTGCAGGCTCCTCTGGATCAGCGGCTGCCTCACTGGGTCCTTCTGCATCTTCAATTAGCTCCTCTGAAATGCAAGAGGGAAGAGGTAAAGTTAAGCAAATTTAACCTTGCAAAATTTCTTCCCAAGGTTTACTCTAATATGCACATCTTGCGAGGGATCCGGGACCATTTCCCAGGCTCTCAGGAATCCTCAGTGAGCCCACAAGATAACCCACGTGGTCTCCCACATGCTAGCACAGGCCAGGCCGCCGAAAGGGGATCCAGACAAACCTGGCCGCAAAATGTGTAACAAGCAGCTGCCACGACTTTGTATGGATCAAACACTTAGACCAGCAGTTCAGGAACTGCATTTGTTTCCCTAAAATCTGTTTTCCTGCATGATCTACCAATGCCCTGAGCAATCCTTACTGTCACCTTAAAAATCCAAGCCCTGAAAGAAGGCCATACGGCGCTCAGGCTCAGACTTCTGTGATTTACCACCAGAAAAGGGAGTAGAACTTGCCACAACAGTGGCTGGGTCACCAGCGGTACTTCTAGAGAATCCTGCCTGGCTGAAACCAGCATACAGACATGTCCGGAAAGAGCCCCAATTCAACCAGGAGATTTGGTGGCACAGTGGATCCAAGCCACCAAAAGTTGGGCAGATCAGACCAAAAACAGGAGACAAAGGATTCACTTTAATAAAATAATGTGTACATTCCAAAGCAGCCAGGGACTGTCCATCAGGAAGCATCTATATGGTGAAGTGCAGCTGAAGGAAGGATGGGACAGAAACAAACAGCAGTCGGACGGAATCCACGGCGGCAACAGGCCTGCCACCTCTCCTGTGCAGCCGGGGTCGTGCTAGAGATGTGAAGGTCTGGAAGCAAGGGAGGACATTTGGAGAAACTCGCTGTTTTCTGAGCAGCTTTTTTTGACCTCCAAAAAATCCAGGGTTCCCCCTTTTAATGTTGCCATCTTTTTCTCCTTCACAAGTCTAGACCTTTCCAAAAGTGAAAAGGGAAGGTGACAGCCTGACTTCAACTGCTGTAAAGCAATCTGAAGAAAACGTCAGTAAATCAAACCACAAGCAACTAAGAGCAAACAGTTCTGGACTGGATCACCTATTGGGCTGTTCAGCCAACCAGAGAAGTTGCGTCGGCCGGATGGGTGCCGCGCAAACCCTTCAGCCTTCCGCCTGGTTTCGACTGGTGCTTTGCCGTGTTGCCATGTAGTGCTCCAGCTTTATCATCAGCTCTCAGACCTGCCTGGTCCAAATGTTCTGCTCTCTGGCCCTGGAAACAGCCATGCCTTTCCCTCTGCCACAGGTGCGGCATCAGCAACCTTCCTGGCAGAGCTTTTCACTGGCTTGTGCCGGGCCTGGGGCAGGCTGCCTTACCCTGGCACAACGGCTTCGGCAGTCGGCATCAGAACAAGCAGGCCTGTTTCTCCATCACCAAGAGCAAGGGCGGCACTGCCCAGCTCGACACATCAGCCTGCGCCTTGAGGTCTCCTTGGGGCCACACCGGGGTGCACATCCCCCTCCCAGCGCGCCAAGAGGCACCTCTGCTTTCCTGCCTCTCCTTCTGTGCTGGCAGCGCTGGCCGTGATACGCGGCATCTTCTGACAAGCACCCCTGGGATGCTGAGCATTCAAAGCAGGCTCGTGCGCATGGAAAGCACTTTGCCAGCACATAGCGAAGAATTCTCCTGCAGGAAGCCTCACGGCTTTGGAACGAGGCACCTACTGGGGCTTTCGTCCCGTCCTTTCTCCACAGCAGCATCTATAATCTGCTCCCTTGATCCTCCCAACAGCCCTTTGGGGCAGGTCAGGCTGAGCGGTGCCAGCTGGGCCCAGGTCACCCCACAACCCTTGCATCTGGGCGGGGACCTGTCTCGGAACCCTGCCCGCTGGCCTGTGGCTTGCTGCCCGAGGAGCGTCTGCCAGGCCCGTCCGCCCTTGGCATTTCTACAGACTTTTGGACACCCAAGGGGTCCAGCGCAGAAGCGGCTCTCTGGCTGCTGCTGTGACTGTGGACGGTGGCAGAGAAGGGCAGAAGCTGTGCTAGTGGGTAAAAATTACAGGGAGGCAGATCTCAGCTTCACATGAGGAGAAATTTAGTGGAGCGTGGGTTGGACTCAAAGACCGCGAAGGTCCCTTCCAAGTCTGCAAAATAAACCCCTTCCTCCCCTCTCTGAGTGTAGGCCCACAGCCCAGAGCAGCCTCTTCACAAGAGAACTGCTGGCAGGCAGGCAGGCAGGCAGGCAGTTCTCCAGCAAACGGCCGGCCGGGAAGCTGCAGCCGAGCACACCACTTCGAGCATCTCTCCTCTGCCTCACCCCCCTGCGAAGGGCAACCCCTCGCTCTCCAGGGCAGATGCCACCACGGAGCCTCTTCCGGCCAGCTGGCAGCAGGCGCCTGCAGTCCTAGCAGCTGCCTAGAGGTGGCACTCTCTACATGGCAAGCCAAGAGCCACTGGCCACGGCTTGACTGTCTGGGCTCCTCTCCGAAGCATGTGGAAATAATATAAGTCTTCCAGCAAACTGTCTGGTTCAGAGGAAATAAAATAGGACATTCATAAGCAGTTACACCATCTGTCTTTATACCATCATCATCAACAACAGGGGGGAAGAGAGCTCTTTAAAATGGATGAAAGCCCAGACTGACAGTAACCAGGAAAATGTGAGCTATGAATACCAATAATGGTAGAAAAATTATTAAAAAACAGGGAGAGACACTGCAAATTTCTCAGAGACAGTTCTGCGGGGCAGCCATACAAGGAGATGCCATCTCCGAGGAGTCTGGCCAGTGAATGGACGGAGCATGCGGGCAAGGCAGTGGCTGCAGGACCCGGGGAGAGGCCACTCATCCCTTAGGGGATGTGGGGCAGCTCACATTGGCCTTGGCTGCTCCAGAAACCTTTTTCGGAGGGCTCCCCAGCAGGCTGACACAGTTGTGGCACTGTGGAGACACGCAACCAAACTGCATGGACCCTGAAGGTCCCTGGAGCAGAGGGCCAAAGCTTTTGCGAAGGGCGCTGGATGCTACTCAGGAGCTGCAAAGCTGCCTGCATCTGTTCCGGGGCCTGAGCATCGAGTGCGGCCCGCAGAGCTACGGAGAGGAGGCTGAGGCGGCCCTGCTCTCCAGTCGCTACCGAGCCCGAGCCCAGAAGAGAGGACGATGGGGCCCACAGTGGCCACCTGAGATGCCTGCCAATTACCTGCCCCCAAACCATTCCTCATCTATGGAACGGGGGCAGAAATCTAAGGAACTGTGTGCTGATCCAGCACAAGGCTGCCATGCAGAAGAGGCCTGGAAGCATTCTGCCCCAGAAATCGTAACACTGCAGACCGACACTCGTGATGCAGGGCCAGGGCTGCTCTAAGCCTCGCAGTGCGAGGATGCCAAGTGCCGCCCCCCAGGCCAAGACCAGCGGCCCCAGAGCATCCGCCCCGGCACCCTCCTGACAGCCACCCCAAAGGCAGCGCATGGCGATTCCGCCATTCCCACCCGGAGGAAGAGAGTCCCCCTGGCATCCCCTGCCCACAGCAGACGGAGAGCCCCGATCCAAATGCTGCTAGGAAGGCTTGCAGGGAGGAAGCGGACCTGAAAGGAGGTGGGAAGTACAGCCCGCCTGCCCCCTCCCCCTCCCCGATCCAGGAGACTCAAGAGTGGAGAAACATTAGCTGTCACGAACCACAATCAAATCAGGTTTGAAATATTTAGCAGTGGCTTGGAAAATACGATGGTGCAGCTCTGACAGGCGAGATGGGCACAGACACCCATTTTCCATTATAATGGAAATATCCAGCCTGTTCTGAATATGTATAACCCAGAAAAATGTATTGATTTTTCATTCGACATTAAAAAAAAATTGAAATACCCTGCAGCTGTCAAAAGCCTTTTGTTAAAAGCTCATCTTCCTGGAATGAGGTTTACCAGAAACAAGTTTTAATTGTACATAGGCTGCTTCTTTGAAACACAAACGCTCCCCCACCCCCAGCTAGCCAGAAATGCCCCTGCTGCGTCTGCCTCTGCCCCTCCCACCAAGAGGCTATTTTTTCCAAAGGGCAGCTAGGAAATTAGCCGGCTGCTTCCCCAGGAGAGGAAGCCGAAGTGCCTCTGAGCAACCTGGCTGGTGCTGAGCACGGAGAAGGCAGCCCTGTCTCACCGGGAGCTGCAACCAGACAGAGCTCCAGGTGAGCACAGCCCAGGCCTTGGAGAACCGAGGCCTCAGCAGCCCCCGAGCACGCCTGAGCGAGCAAAAAAAGAAAGACACACTGACGCATACGGCAGCCGGGTCCACACCGACCCTGGGCAAGGGCTTCACGTGGCCCCAACCTAGACAGGGTCCTAATGAAGGAAGCCATCCGGGCCTGGTGCTTCTCTCTCCCCAGCCACATTCCAGGATCTCTGTTACTTTGAAGACGTGAAAAGGGTCCAGATAGGTCTGGATCAGAGGGTCAGATCGGCAGTGCCCCAGAAAGCAGAGATCAGCAATCACATCAGACGTCCACTTGTTTATATCTAGTGTACTACAAGTCATCATTAAATAAACTCCTATTGGCATTGTAAAGTTAATCAAGCAGCATAATAAAATCACAATGAAGAATAACAGCATAAAACCAATACAAAAATGAAGTAGAAAGCCAATAAAAAATAACAGAAAACCAACACAGCATAATTTAAAAGACAGATGCAGAAACTAAAACTATCAAAAGATGCAAGAGTTAAAATATCACCAAAAGCTTCAGCTATTGGATGCTACAGAAATGCAATAAATACAAGTAGTCTCCCGGTTAAGAACAAGTTCTGTTCTGGAGAACATCCTTAAGTCGAATTTGTATATTAAATCAAGTCACAAGAGTAAGTCAAATGTTTGTCTCAGTATGTGTGTGTGTGTGTGTATATTTATTTATTTTTATTTATTTAGACAGCTTATATGCCACCCCCTTCGCATAAGCCTCAGGGCGGCTTACAATCATTAAAATCCTGCATATAAGTACAAAAAAAATACATAGAATAAATAAAATACATAAAATAGTGGAAACAGCCTAGTCAGTTTCAAATCAATAAATAAACCTT